ACTAAACCAAAGCTTCATTATTTTCACACTCACAGGATTTACTCCACAGCATTGAGATCGCTGACATCGAATGACAAAATTATCTTTGCTCAATTTGTTTCCAGCCGTCTCCGTTTGGGTCAAAACGGACTCAGCGAAGATCTTAAGACAACATAGAACGATGTCATAAAAGTGTAATAAGAGGAATACCTTTGACTGCGGAAAAAACTTAAATAAATATCGATCATAAACAATGCGAGCCTTCTCCATGTGTTTAACTAAAATTTCAGGGTTCGGAAGAAAGATCAGAGACTGCTCTCTATTGATAGCTTACCCTTCATATGTTCCAAAAAGTCTAGGGGTTTGTACACATTCATTTCCAAGCAGCAAAATGGACAAGTTTGTGGTTTCTCAGCAGAACGGTGGATATAAAGGGCACACAACATTCTTCCTTCCATCGCTGCATGTAAGGCACAATGATCCTGAAAAGCTCATTGAAAACATCACACAAGAAGTGATGAAAATAAAAGCCAATTAATCCAACCTTAATGCAAACCATGTCTGTAGCATTAATCTGTACATCTGCGCAGATATCACAACGTAACAGCTTCCCAGTAAGCCTATGCTCATTCGATGATTCCTATAAAAGGCCAATTCTCAATACTCTTCTCTGGGTATAACAATTCTTACTCTTCAAAACCAGACTGCTGATGTTTTTACGCATAAGTGAGAAAAATTTCATTGTGAAAATCCATAAGAACTTAGAAGTTGTAGAAAAGCCAACATACATAGCCCCTGCACTCGCTCACTCTTTGGTTGTGCGCTTTGTTTAGTGCGCACAATTACTGTGTCGCTTAGTTAAGGATCATTAAATTGACCAACTGTAAGAGGTGAGAAGTAGGGAGCAAGCACATCAAGATAATAAGATGATGAGTCAGAAGAGGATCTAACAAAGGAGGGATACTTAGCCGAAGTGACGATTCAAGAAGTGATGTATTAGTAGATGCATTTTTAGACGTTGTATCCAAATCTGCCTTCCATATCTGGAAGCGTTTCTCTAGAAGAAATTATGAGTGTTTGAACACTCCAAGCGATAGCACCATCTTCTAGTGAACCAATGTTTGGGAAACGAAGAAGCAGATAGTGTAGTAGCAAGTGTGCGGTTTGTTAAGATGATTGATGCAAGCCCGATCCTCTCACCTTCCAACACTTTTGCATTTTTTTTAGAAATTTTTATGCGTCAATAAATGTTACTCACTAATGAATGACGCTTTTTTACTTGAATGATGGTTCTAAACTAATTTTAAAATGTGATTCGCTTTTTAAAGAATTCATTCCTCTCAAGCATTGTTCAAACATATTTGTTACCAATTAAAATATACACTTTTATGAACATACGTGATATACTATTACAAAGTATGTGAAGCATAGATGTTTCTCGCAATAAGCACAGCGAATAAAGTACTTTATTACAGCCACTACTTTCGAGTCTATCATCAAGCTGGGAGGAAAACAAAAGTGACTAGGAGTTTCAAACAAGTCAGGAGGTTCTTCTAAATAGCCAGCCGCATATCACGAATAAGAGAGGAAATTTCTGAAACGGGGATAGCAAACTGAGATTATGAGCGAAAGGAACTTAAGCATAGAATCTCTATGGTGTGTAGACAATCAATGGGCTATATATATGAGATGAAACGATTATAAATAACCTTAATCGGTAGGAAAAAGTAACGTCCATATTAAAATTTTTGAAAACCATCTTCTAAGTGAAAACGCTTCATTCATTTGTAGATAACATTCTTGACGGATGAAAACATTTTTTAAAAAATGCAAAAGTGTTTGAAGGTGAGAGGAATCAAACTTGCTTCAATCAGCCTAGCAATCCGCACACTTACCACTACACTATGTGCCGCTATGTTCACAAAACATGGTTCACTTTGATAGAGGTGGTGTTGTAGCTTGGTGTTTTCAAATGCCCACAACTTCTTCCAGAGAGATACTTCACAGATATGGAAAGCAGATTCGGAATTAGCGCCAAAACTGCATCTAATAGTACACATCGCTTCTTGAATAGTCACTTCAAATAAGTATCCTTCCCTTGTTACGACTAATTCAGGGCGTGGCGACAATCACCAAAGCGATCGAGAAGCTCTCGATCCATGGAGAAAGACAGAGGAGGAATAATAATAGTCGCAGCTTTTGAAAGGCGGTTTGTTGGAGTGGGCGGTAAAACTTCGACCTATTTTTTGTTGTAGGTTCCTATAGTGGGGCTGGTTTATAAATTTATGGAAGAAATTGGCCATGCCGATGAATGTCAAAGTTTTTAATGCAGAAAAGAACAAATTCATGCTTTATTCCATGGACCTCATGATAGAAACCTCAGAGTTCTTACAACTTAGATTCTCAGACTTCTACTCATAACCTTCTTACCTTGATGTACTTTCTCGGTAAATCTCACCTCTTATTGTGGTGACAACGCCTTTAGGCGCGATTGTATAACTATGGAGCTTGATCCCGACCCACATCTTACCAGATCAACTACTGTACCAACGACTAAAGGTCGAGCAAGTAGTCTTCTATTCTAACTGTATTTGTGTCAGAAACACACAATGGACCTATCATACGCCCAAATTCACCAGCTATACGAGAAGCCATTTAAAGCCACTTAGAATAT